CGCCCCCCCCCCCCCCCCCGCGCCCCCTTCTCTCTTCCCCCTCCACCAATTTTGTGGATTGTGGTTGACTTCATCTGGAAGTACTGTTTTGTTTTGCTGAAAACTGAGGACATTGGATGGCTGTGATCATGTCTTGTCCAATATCTCCTATGGCATATGCTGGAGTGTTCAGTGGATGATTGGGTTGACCCTTTTACCTGTGCATTTTACAGACATATGGGCAAATTATATCAGGGGTACCACAGCTTCTGTCAAAATTCTCTTTCAACATGATTGAATCTTGATGCCTGATTGTTTTCTATCATCCAGAGTGAAGTGATCTCATTAGGTAGCCTCTCAGTCTGCGACTAAGGCTTTGCACCTTAGCATCCGCTCCTTATATGCTGCGCTGCCAGAGACTTGTATATATCATAGTATACATATCATACCTTTCTATACGAAAAATGACACTGTAATGTTGAAAATAGCAACATATATTATACTCATGGTTAGTGTAAAATTTTCTTCAGAGTAATGGAGTTTGATCAGTTCTTTCATTTTTGTTTTCACTTGACACGATGGCACACATCAACTTGCATAGACATCATATAAATATTAGCATTTTGTTTCTAAGTTTCTTGGAAAATATAAATTGAAGGCAAGGAGTTAGATCTTCATTAGGAACTGGCTGACCGAGATAACTGCTAGTTCATCAGCATGTAACTTGATATTGTGCAAGTGTATTCATTTAAAGACTTTGTACTTTTGACTCTTTGATGGCTATGACACGAGATCGTGACTTGTTGGCATAAAATCTATAAGACATACCAAACAGCTTGTGAGGTTTTGGCACTTAAGATGGTGTTTTGAATGCAAGGATCCAATGATGCTAGAATATATGCTTGAAACCGATAATCTTGCCAATGCCTAAACGGAGAGTTTGGACTGGTTTTGACACGTTAGGGAGGGAGCCACGTTTGCTGCGAAAGGAAGTAATGTTTGTAGAGTTTTGATGTACACAATGTTGAAATAATTGGCATTTGTTAAAATTTACCGGTACTTTTCAAAGATATTTATGCAGATGATTATAGTAGATAACAATACGTATTTCTGTACAATTGCCAAATAAAATACAAAATAAGAATATTGAGATAGGAATTTGCAGAAAATGCAGTTTTGATGCATTTGCATGAGATTTGTCTTGGTTTTCCCTCGTTCATGTGCAGTCTTATCCTTAGCTTGGTTTTCATCAGGCAGATCATAGTCTCGACAATTTCTAATATGTTAGCACCATAAACAACCAGACCTAAAAAGAAAAGAAAATATTGACGGTTGGAGTGATGGCTGTTCATACATCAATCAAATTCAATATAAATCGAAGAATTGGAAACAAAAGGACAACTATACCCAATTTCTTATTTGATTAGATCGAATTTCAGATTGTATTTTGAAACTAATCTGAACTGAGTGTGTATATATAATGCGATCGACGGCTATTTTTGTGCGATAGCCATATAAATAAATATTTTTAAGCATATAAATTGATTTATGTTAAATAATTTATATGATAATAAGAGGTTATTTTTAATTATTGATAATTTATATAAAAATATTAAAATTTAATCTATAAATAAAATTGAATTAAATAAAAAATTAAAATAATCAAAGGAAAACATCTAAAAATAAATAAAATACTCATGTTAAAGAGAAACACTCTTTGATTAAGGGCTATCGCACAAAAATAACAATACGTATTTCTGTACAATTTCCAAATAAATAAAATCAATTTATATGCTTAAAAATATTTATTTATATGTGATTTATTTTAAATTTTTGTTATATACAATAAATATTTAATATGCAAGATAATATATATATATATATATATATA